GTTTTTTTTTTGGGCAAGAAGTATTTTCCATTAACAGAAACCAAGGGGGAAAAACTATTAAAAAGACTGATGGACATCCCAACGAAAGGAGGGGGACAAGGATTGAGTTAAGTGGTGAGAAATACATTAATACTCTTCAAGTAAAATGTCAAATTTAAACTTTATAAATTTAAAAAAAAATATCTTAGAAGACTTTTCCTCCAACTGTGACTTGATTGTTTCGAATCAGATTAGTTGGCAATATGAAATATTACAAAAATTAACAAAAAATGCATGACAGGGATAAATTAAAGTACTTCAAAGCTAATAAAAAGCCACGCTGTTTTTTACTTACTTCATTTAAAAATGTAAAATATTTTTTAAAAATTTAAAAAATGAAATACCCTATTAAATATAAAAAAAAATATTAATTTAAAAATAATTAATTACTTTATTAGAAATTTAATTTGATTAAAAATAATTTTTATATTTTTAACAAAGGAAATATGCTAAATATTAGATCATTCACGTTGATTAAAAAAAATCTCAGATCATTCACAATTCACGAACTCTCTTTTATATTTAAAAACTGAAGACCACTTTATAGACTTCCGTATTCTGTAGTGTTTGGAATTTTAAAATTTGATACATGGCCCAAAAAATAAAAATGAAAAATGGTAAGTTTGAGGCCCGTTTCACCTTGACATGTTTAGTTATAAAATTTTGACTACTTTTCTGCTGTATATATATATATATATAGAGCACTCCCTCTATTAAATAATATAAATAATTTTTTATTAAATTTTATTTTTAATAAAATAGTTACCTGTCTTCAAATTAACATTACTATTTTATTTTTATTTCTATTTAATAGAATATTTTATTTTAAAATAAATATAAAGTGATTTATTTATTAAAGGTGTTTTTAAAAAAAAAAGATAATGATTACACTTTAAAATATTAAAATTATTTTATATTTTTAATATTAAATTTTTAAAAAATACCTTAAATTTTTTGACAGAGGTGGCATATGGAAAAAAAATAGAAAAAGAAATCAAGTGTACGTCAAAGCAAAATGGAAAGAGAGCTTTTAAAAGTTTAAGGGATAATCGTCAAGGAGTGAGATTATACATTTCCAAAGTTAAAAGAGATTTTTTCTAGGGACATACAAGATACAATTACAAACATGTAATTGCATTTCCTTAAAAAGTGTCTATAATGCTTTTCGACAAGTGCATCATTTCTCTTTCAAATTACGCACGCACACGCACTTGAATAATTGAGTTGTGTTTGAAGGTGATGGACAGGACAAAGCATCTTTTCTCCATTTTTTTCGATAACACTCAATTTTAATTCAATCAGCACCATTTAAATTTTATTTTTTATCCTTTAATCATTACCAACGATCCGTTTTAACTTCGCATTCAAAAATTTGCCATTGTTTTATTTTACGTTTCTTTTTTCAATAATAAAACGCTAAATACGAATCATTTAAATTAAATCCAAACTATTTGTTTTTAAATTAAACAAATAAAAAAACTACTAAATTAAAAGCATTAGTTTGCGCGTATTCAACAATTTAAGATTTTAGATTAAGATGTTACATCATACGTTTTCCCATTGAGTTGGATAAGAGATATACAGGTGGAAAAGACCTATCAACTCAATGTTAAGTTCTTTCTTTCTTTTCCTCTAAAAAAAAAAAAAAACCGGGGGCGAACAGAAGCTAAGATCATTGGCGATTGAAAAGGATTTAAGATATACGAGTGGGTAAGATACCAGCCATGAACGTGTGTTCCGCTATCCACGTTTATGTTTCCATCGAGAAGTCAATTTCAACACTACCTATCATTTACCATCCACTAATATTAATATTTGTATATTAAAAAAGGGAGAAATTAAGTCTCAATAAGTATCTATACTAAATGCTCAATTTCCACCACACGAATCCGTGGTTCTACTAAAACTTATCTTTCAGGTGCTTCCAGAATTAAAACACCACATCACCGATATATAGATTGGGATATTACTACCCTAAATGTACGTGGAGAATCGAAGTTGCGTAATAATTTTCTTTATATCTCAGGCAGTGATTTTCAAAGTGTCGCCAATCACGAGATCGTACGGCTAGCAATATCATCCAGGAACAAGCGGATGGTTTTTCTATCCATACGATCTCATGACTAAGCCAGCATTAAGTGACATACTATAATCAAAAGTATTTTTAGTACTATTAGAGTGTGTGTGTGTGTGTGTGTGTGTGATGTCAACCTTAATTTCATGATTAGCTCCATCATTTTGTTGCCGACGTACTCACCCACTCAGCTTCAGATCAAAATAGTTTATAATTATATGGAGTGCATTATATAGCTAGTGTGCATATTTATTTATTTACACTACACAGAGACACACATACGTGGCCATGGTTTTGTTCACTGAATGAAAAGCGTGTCATTCATCACCCAGAAAGTGGAGTGTATTTCGTGAACATATCTCATGTCCCACCCCTCCTTAGTGAAAACTACTACATACATAGAGAGGGCTTCGATCTCCATTATTATTATTATTTGGTTGCTGAAGTGGAGAGATCAGCCAGAGGAACAGTGGCTTCCAAACGGTTCGATAATAATGAGCAATGAATGAATAATGAAAGGAGCTAGCGAGTTGATTTTTGGTGACATGTTTTGACGCAATTCAACTTTGAAGAAGGAAGAAGGAAAAGGCATATAATACACACACACACACCCCAGTGGATATACATTCACGTTGCATTAACTAGTGGGTGTTTGTTGGATCAGGTGTATAATGCTGATTCCATCTTAATCCAAGTAATTCTGCCCTCGTTTTAAAATCATGTTATCTAATTTTTTTAATTAGCCTCTCGAGTTTGGGTTAGCAGAAATACTCAATACGTACTATTATTTGGTTCAATTAGATTCCTTTAAAACTAGCTAGTGGGCGATGGCATCATGAAAAAACATATCTTCAAACTCTTTCGAGAGATTTCGTATCTCGTTTCCTTATTATTCTTCTAGATCAGGCCAGCAATATTAATTTGTGTGTGTATCTCATACATGCGCCAATTATAATTCTGCCTAATCATCCACTAAATTAACTTAAACTTCCAAAAAACGAGTTTAATTAACTTCGCATGCTCACGACAGTGTTAATTGCTGTGTGGTGCATCGCCCAACTATAGCGGTTTAATTAAACAACTTAATTACTTACCCAGTCTAAAAACACGGAGAATTTATATATAAACAACTTTTCTTGATTTCTTTTTCCTTCTTGTCTACCAGTAATGATCCTGACATGTATTTTCATTATGATATTCTTAATGCGGCGAATCAAAGTTAGGGACATAGGCGTAGGGTTTGATTTTGGTGCTTATCCTTGCTCATCACTTGATGAGCATCTAAGTTTTTAATCTAGGCGGTCCAGTTTTTATTGAATCTATTTTTTATTTTTATTTTATATTTATTATAAAAAATTATAAAATTTTGATAAATTTATTTTATCATCAACTTAAACAACATATATTTAATTTAGATGGTTCAATTTAAATTAATTTTTTAAAATTTTTATAAATTAATTATTTAGATGTACTCCGAACAAATTGAATTCAAAATATATTTAAATAGTTAATTTATAAATTTTTTTAAAAAATTAATATTAAATTAGGTCATTTAATTAAATCTGTATTGTCTAAATTAAAAATAAAGTAAACTTATTAAAATTTTATATTTTACATTTTAATAAACATATAATAGAATATAAAATAAAACTGATAAATTTAATCTAGATAATTCAAATTATTTATCCAGTGATGAGCATCAATTGAACGCAACAGGTGTAAGGTTGTCTGTTACTACATATCTTATCAAACAGAGATATGTCACTATATATACTCGCTTATCCAATCAGATTCACCTATGTATACATTAGGATGCAGAAGATGATGGGACTTGGAATTTGAATAAACAGTTCAGTACACAGAATCTGATTTCGAAGATGGATTTTACGGGGATTATATATATATATATATATATATATATGAGCGCGCATCTCTGATTGCCTGAAATTCTTAATCCTATGCTTGCGTCACTTGATTGTTGTCTGGTGATGCTTATTCTCTCTCTCATGCACACAAATATGTATGCATATTGGAAAGAATCTCTCGCAGGTTCACATGAGAGAACAAATGCGGCGAACATTGACAATAGATGCTCAGCCATTAAGTCCCAGTGAAGCACTGTCAATTAATATTTCATGCCTGAATTGTGCCAGCAGTTTCAATTGTTCTTAATCACATGAAAAAATTAACATATATTCTTTAAGTGACTACATATTCCCTCTAAGTTTTAGCATTTTTTGGGGCTAGAATCATTCCAAGTCTCTAAGTCTGATTGGAAAAACCAAAAAGACGAATCTGTACCTGAGAGTAAAGAGGCACGCAGGGATCATTAATGTTGTAAGACACCATCCTTGATTCCATGTTCTTTTGTGCCAAATTTTTCCAAAAGAATATGTCACCGAGAATCATTTCCTGGGTTAGGGGTTGAATAATCCTTAATTACCTTTACGATAGCTTATGTTTTTATAATAGCGTGATAGCAGCAAGCATTCAGGCTAGATTCCCTTTAGCCGTGTTACTGTGCATCTGATAAAAAGATAGACTTAACGGTAAATCTCATTTCTCCTTATTACGTGATTGTAGAATTCAATATCCCCAACTCATCTGGTACGATGGATACGAACAAAAAATGAATTAACGAGGTGGGAGAATAACAAGTATCAGACTATCAGCAGATGCTGAAAATGAGAATTTTTCTGGAAAGATTAGACCTTTCTTGCTTTCGATTTGTATCAGAAATTTAAGTCAATTCTTAATCTTGATGCGTGGTAGGGATCAATCTTCGCGGTTTGTTCTCTAAATCAGAAAACAATTAAGCCGATAAGGCTGCCTTCTCTTCCGTTTCGCATCATCTTTTTTCTTATCCCGGGGAAGAAAGAGTGAATACTTTCTGCAATCTCTTGATTCTCATTTCAACAAGATTACAATTTGTCACCAGTTACATCACGGATACAAAGACGATTTGTCTCATACTAGTGTCTCAATTACCAAACGCACCCAAAAAAAAAAAAAGTTTCAAACTCGTTTCAATAGAAAAGTTGCAATTAAAAATACAGGGGATCAAGGTACAAAAACCCCTCGCATAGCAGTTATTATTGTTTTCTGTTCAAGCCTGTGGAACACTAATGGCTACCGCAGGAACAGATTCTTTCCTAGCTTCATGCTCTTGCATCTCAATGTCGTTTTCTTCAATGTCTTCTAGAACAGTCTGCATCCTTCCATTTTGTTTGCATCCTTTGATCATTTCTGGAACTAATATCTCTGCTTCTTTCTCTTGGTTCTCCTTGTGTTTCCCCCATAGAACCGAGTACAGACCCGCTACGATCAGTATCGATCCAATCACTCTGTAACATTCACAAACCCATAAATTAACATTAGTTCCTGTAAAACTGTTTAACAGGTTGTAGAAACTTTGTGATAACGATGTTTCAGAAGAAGATAAAAACCATTATTGTATGTGATAAGAAAAAGAGACAAAACTGTAAATGTGCATAAATGATAGAGAGTAACCTCACTCTGATAGACGACAGTTTGTGTGATAAGAAAAAGCATGAAAGCAAAGTTTCTGGTGAATTAAAAAAGCTAATTTAGAGAGATGTAGATTTACCCTCCAAGGTAAATTTTTTCAGCAAGGATGAATGATCCCATGACGGCAACGATGATCATCATCAAAGGACTGAAGGAAGTGACAAAAACAGGCCCTTTTCTCTGCATGACAATCCCTTGAACATAGTAGGCAATGCCTGATGATACTATACCCTGTTCACCAAACATCACCAATTACGTTAATTCCACTCTCTTAATCAATTCACAGAAAGTTGGCAAACAGAGAGAGAGAGAGAGAGAGAGAGAAACTCACTGCATAGGCTGCAGCAAACAGATTCATGTCCCAGCCAATGCTCCAAGCGGATGGCTTGTGTTCCATCACAAAGGTGACTGCAATTGACTGAAGTGTACCCATACAACACACTAAAGCTGTGAGCGAGAGCTGAGCAGAGTATTTCCTTAACGTCACTGCCTGTATATATAAAACATCCCAAAAGGTCTTCAATTTCAAGTGCTTCACACAAAAGCAATATATTAATGAATGAGGGTGAATTGGTTGAAGTTCTTGTCTCTGAGTTACCTGAAGGATGAAGAAAGAAGCCCAGGCAAGGGTAGCAATAATGAGCAGAATAGAACCCTTAACCCAATCTTTTTCCGCTGAATCAGAGGGGTTAACATAATTTCTAGGACGATGTATGTATTGAGTCCAGAAAAAGTTGATGACTTGACCTTTGTACAACGTCATCAACATGGCCCCGGCAATCGTTACTATGGTTCCTATTATTTTTGCTATGCATCGAACTTTTCGCAGGTCTACCTTCTCCATCCTGCTTCATCCGACGCAATTGTCAGCTCAGAACATCCAGAAAACAGAAGAAGAAACTATTATATTAATTTAACTGATTCTGTCGGGAATTAACTACCTGCAAAGAACAGCCATCACAAATGTCATTGCAGGGAGCATGTTGCTTATAGCACACGAGTATGTCGGGGAGGTGAATTTCAATCCCGCGTAGTACAAGTTTTGGTCAATCACGGGCCTGCAGGAACAGAGGAAGCCAACATTAGAAAACTTGTTTTCGGCGCGTTCAACACCCATGGCATCCGGTTCAACAGTGAGAAAATTACTAACCCGAGAAGACCCAGCACAAAAATTTGCACGAACATGAGAAACGTTATCCTGGGCCTCACTTTTCTGCAGACAACAAGCAGAATACAAATCAATTAAAAGGATAACAGTTTCAATTCTTAACAGAGAAAACAAAGAGAGTAAATACCTCTCAAGAACAAGAGCGAAAGGAGCAATAGCAGCTGTGGCGAAGGCGTGACGATAAACGACAAGCACGTAATGGCTCATCCCTCGGTTGAGGGAGACCTTAGTGATTATGTTCATCCCAGCGTAACCAAATTGAAGTGAGATCATAGCTATGTAAGGCTTACACCTCTGGAGAAAACTCCCACAGCAACACCCATTCCCTTCCATCTTTGTTTGGATGATTTCTAGACCACTGAGGAGTTACACTTGAAGTTGTTTGTGTCTCCTAAGTGTAAAACGTGAGCCTTGCCTCCTATTTATAGGCCATCCTTCCTCAGCGAGCGTGCGAAAACTTTGCTGATCTTACCTTTACACGTGACATCTTTCCCTCGTCCATGTTAATGCCTGCAACCCAATAATTTAATGAAAGATCATACCCATTTTAAATATCGGTACTCTGAATAAAAGCTTTTCAATTTTAGACTCGGTGCAACACATAACACCTATCGTCAACTTTTTTTACAAGTGCTGGTTTTATTAACTAGATCACGGCCTTTTTCGTGTGTTTGATACAAAGTCTCTGAAAAAATAAATAATGTTGTTATGACTTTACAAACAACTCTCCCTTCAGATATCCTAATTATAAAACCTGGTTTGAAATTTATTTTGGTCGTAAATGAGGGACGTTAACCTTCTTTAGCACACAAAGTTAATAGCGTCTGTTTTACTTTGGAAGAACCAGTAACACATTTTTTACGCAATACTTGGACGTCTACGTGTGAGATGAGTTTGACAGACGAACAATTAATGAAGATGTGGGAAATAAAATCAAGGTGGGTGGGTCCGGAAATAAAAGAAAGGAAGGTGAATGGTGACGACAATGAGACTACTGGGAAGTAGGGACAGCGTGAGCATGTAATATTCTCTGCATTTTCACGACGCGGCGAACTTCTTCCATACCCTCATCCACCGGAACAGTGTCCCGACTTGGACAACCTCTTCTATCTCTCTCAATTCCTTTCGCTCCTTTTTCTTTGGACCATTTTCCCTCCTTTTTCTTCTTCTTTTAATCTTCATGACGCTCAAAAAGGCTGTATTTTAGCTTGTTCATAAGCTGAAACTATCTGTATTTTGATGACCTAATTATTAATTAAACCACACCAAACTTGCATGAAGGTAAAAGTTATATACATATAAATAGCATTGTATTACATGGTCAACTTGCATTTGGCGTATTTAATTTCTATCATGATCAGTTACTTCTCGACAAGACAACCTATAAATATATAAGGTTGCCAATTTGGTCATAAACTCGATTCAAGTTGGCACGTCCCTTGTACAACGTTGGAGGATGCGTGCAGTAGACTTTGAATTATTGTGATTCCCCCCAATCACTCCATGTAATATATATCAGATTTATTTGCTGGTTCAATATTTCTGAGATGTGATATGCATTTTAATTTCATTGGAAAATGCAAAAGTTTTGGTTGGGAATTTTCCTTTTCATATGATGTATTATCATTTGTGTAATGCTCTGCTGCCGACCACCTTTCTGCATACTCTATCTTCCTCTCTTACTTTTCTTTCTTTTTTTTAATCTTGCTTTCTTTAATTTTTCTTTTCCATTTTCAATAGAAAGATGACGCATTAGTTGATGCATCTCCATCGCTCTTAACGTTAGTGTCTAGTGATTAATCAAATTTCACAGACTGAAATTAATAACGTCGAAGAAAGACGTTCTAATTAGTCACTCGTCTCCCCCACTTTTAGCTAATGCTTCAAAAGATAAATCTAACTCCTACACCACAATCAATAAAAAAGCACGAACCCTGATTTTTTTCCGCATCTCTCTCTCTCTCTCTCTCTCTCTATAATAAAATTTTGTCATTAATCATAGTCTGTCAAGATATATTATTAATATTATTTTGGCATGCGAAGATATATAGTTATTAAGTGCAAAATGAATTTAGAATATGAAAAATTGAATTGCATTGTTTAATAATCAACGAAAAATATGGGTTGATATTGACGTTGTATTTTATTTTATATTGATTGAAATTTGAGTATCATCACGTATGTATCATAATATAAAAGACAGCAATTAAAAGGAAAGGAATTAAAACATGGTATTGTACAAAAACACCAATAAACTATTAGAGAAATTAATTAAAAAGAAAGAGAGAAGCAAAAATCTAAGCAACAGAGATCAAGGCAAGGAGGGCCACATATATGTGGAACAGAATTTCAGCAAAAAACGTCGAAAGTGCACTGATTTGAGTGATCACTACCATTTGTCTGTGCAGACTGCAGAATCTCTTCACAATTAATGGGAAAAAAAGAAAGACGACGATGAAGAAAAACATATTTAAGGACACGCACTTTCTTGCTTCTGGTTTTCAGTGTTCCCTCCCCCAAAATGAGAAGCTACGTACAGGCCGGTTCCCATGGATTGTCTATATATATGATGCTAAATAATAATTAAGTACAAACTGAAGCTCCATGCATCAACCTGGTTAGTGCCTAGCTAGGAGAAAGAAAGTTAAAACTGATCAGAATATGTCGTTTGAGCCAATGTCGTAGCTATAAGGCTTTGGTTTCGCAAACAATATCTGATATACAAGCGTACGATTGCAGCGAAGAAAGCTTAATGACGATTAATATATATTTGTATCTTCGTCCCAGTGGGAATGAAGAGTGTGTGGAATTACGTACGTTTTGTGGCGTCCAAATGGCGCTTTGGTGTCCATAACTTGAGCTTTAATTTTTGCATTGACAATGATATATAAGCTATTCCCACTAAACTGTCCAGAAAGTAAACTTAGTTGAGTGTACGTTTCAAAATGCCAGTACTCGATCTTCTTTTTTCGGAATGGATGTAATTGAACAAAAGTAGTTATATTGTATTATTTAACAAACTCAGCCTAATCCATGAAAGTATTTTGATAGCAACTAGTCACATTTGACAGTGAGGAATAACTGTATCATTTTTGCTAACTAATAATAATAATAATTAGTATAAACGTCATGGTTAATTCATTCAAAAAACAGATTAATCAAGTATTAATCATTTACTGGCTATATACAAACCAACTAACTAAAAAACCGCCGATAATATATGAAATGATGTATCCAGTACATTAATGACACCGAACTATCTGATGACAAAATCATTAATGCGTACGCAGAAGCATATCATTGGATCTGTCCTTGCTAGCCACAGAAAATTCAGCCCGATCGAACATGTGTTCACCATTCATACATGATATACCTGTATCAAAAATAACGAAAATACAGGGTTTTCTATTTTTTAACTCATACAAAGCACAAAGCCATCCCATATGGGAAAAGGAAATATTAGTTTCTTAGCTTTAATCATTTCCTCCCAAGCACACAAATCTCTGAGAAACGAAAGATCGATAATCGAAGGCCACAAATTTCATGAAGAGACAAAGCTATATCCATGAGATCAACAAGGATCGTAGTACAAGGTGGTCACCCCATAGATAGCAAATACACAATTTAGCGGTTCAAAGCCTCGTCCACATTACTCAGTTAGGGCCTGCAACTGCAAATGGGGGGAACTTGATGGGTAATGTCAGCGAGGTACCAAAACAGTCCCAAAGAACAGTGATTCAGAGAAAGTGGAGAGCACAAATGGAGATCTAATCACTAATCACCAACCAATCATCAAAATGTTTGTCGCCAAATACGACAATAAATAAATAAATATATTGCTACGTCCACGTCCAACATATTTTGGTGACCAACTTGGAATGGTCTCATCATATATATCAGTTTCTTTCACCACAAGGACAACATTGGAACATTCCTCTTTTCTTTTTTTATAATCCTTTAAGCTTGTGAAATTCACGCAATACCAAATTGTTAAAAAAAGTAAAAAGAGGCGACAAGAGCAATTGGGTAGGGTATTATCCTTTTACTGGCTACAACAGAAGAGCAAGTGGTTTATGAGGCTGTAATGTTGGAATTTTCTGAGGCAGTGAGGAGCCAATATGCTCTCTATATTTAAGGGGTTATGTTTTTTCTTTCCCTCCACTTTTCCTTTGGAATATCTTGGCCAGGCCATTGAGGTTATAGGCTTTTGAGACTAGTTAGGGTTTGCTTTTATATTCCACTAGCTGAGAAAGAATAGTAATATGGGCTGATGGGGATTGGGTCGATCGAGAGGTTCCTTCACTACACTTCACAGCTATAAATCCGAATCCTTCGTGCTTCAGAGTTTGACACTTGTAATTTTTCATGGTTTGCCTTGTCGCCTTCTGATGAGAGAAAGTTGGATTAGGTTGGAAAATCTATGAGGGCCAAATGCTTGCAAGGAGAGCACTAGCGCACGAGCGTGAAACCAAGAGAAAGTCTCCACAAGGGTCTGTTTAGTTTTTGCTTTTATTTTTTATTTTAAAATTTTTGTTTGCAATATAATTTTTTAAAATGAAATTTAAAAAATCAGTTTGGTTGGGTTAATTCAAAAATAGATTTAGAATTAAAAAATTAGTTGAGAGTGATAGTCACTGACAATTAATGATGGTAGCTTATAATAATTATTGGTTAAGATGACTGTAATTTTTAATAATTAAATGTAATGTATTTTGAAGATAAAAAATAAAATGAAAACAACTTTAAAATATTTTTTTATTTTTAAAAACAAAAAATTATAACAGTTTAAGAAATAATTACATTAGATTCAAAACGTTCATCCAAACAAATTTTTTAATTTTGTTCTTTTAAAAACAAAAAAACTGTTTCTGAAAACAGAAACTAAACCAGTCCTAAATTGTCTCAATCATCTTTCCTGTACATAAGAAGTTTTATTCTTACATTCCAAGTGTTACTTGATATGTATATGATGCTTTAAGATTTCAAAACTCCTTCATAATACGTAAAAACCATTAAGTTTTAATTACTTTCTACCGCGGCCTGTGGTGATGTTTTCGTGGATTAAGGACTTCACAATCCACGTGTTTATGCGACATCTAGATTATAATTTTTTGCTATGCGTAATAACGTGAGCAAGAGAGTAACGAGAAAAAATTACAAATAATATCATAATAGTATATCAATATTATTAGATACTGTGTAAAAAATAATAATTAAAGTAGATGATGGATAACAAGTTTGCTAAGTGTCAAATGCTAACGGTTGCAATAAGATGTTATCATAATATGGTCTCAGCAGTTATGATTGCGGGCCTTCCCGGTTCCCATACGCAGCAATGGCACACGCCAGGGTCAAAGAAGTCTTCCCGCAGGGACCCGCATGCCTTTAAGAAGAAGAAGAAGA